TCTGGCTGGTGGTGGGGGCCCCCCGGGCCCCAGCATGCTGAGGCAGGTGCCGACAGTCCCTGAAAAGCGCCTTCAGCCAGCGGCGGTACCGCGCGGTGGCGGCCGGGCTGGGCACAATCGGCGAGGGATGGGGGCTGGCACGGAGCTCCTCCTGCTGCTGGGCTTCCTCTGGAGCTGCTGGTGTGCCCACGTCCTCTTCCTCCTCGTTGACAATCACCTCCAGGTTGGACAAGTAGAAGGTCTCCTCCTCCTCCTCGCCACCAGAGCCGGGCGCGCTGCCCAACGGAGCCTCCAGCACAGGGGAAGCGCTGGGGACTGCCGCATCCTTGTCCCCACGGCTGGGAGCCCTGGGCTGCGCTGCGTCATGCGTCAGGGTTTGGTAGAAGATGTCCCCAGCCTCGGAGAGCTGGAAAACCAGCAGGGACTCCCAAGGTCCTTGCGCCTGCTGCACTGCCGCTAGCCCTGCGGGGACAGACAGGGGATAGCCACCAGCCACCGAGGGACAGAGGAAGGAAGGTAGGGCAGCAGCTCACGCTGAGCCCCCCAGAGCAGAGCCAACCTCCATCAGGTTGCTCAGGGCCCGGCCCCATCGAGGGCTGAGGGTCTCCACGGATGGAGGTTCCCTCTCTGGGCCCTGCTCCAGGGTTTAACTGCCCTCATGGGAGATACATTTCACTCAATGGGAACTTCCCTGCGTGTGACTTGTACCACTGTCCTGTCTTTGGCTCTCCAAGGCGGCCTTGGTGTCTCTCCAAGCCCACGAGGCCACCGCCAACAGCAAGGAGACCTCTTCGTCGTCCCTTCCCCAGGCTGCCCAGCCTGCCTGCTGCTCTCAGCCTCCCCGGCCGCCCCGATCCCCAGCCCCTCGGCACTTTGGCTGACCTCGCTCCTGGGCAGTTAATTTCTCATCAGCTCCAGCCTGCCCTGGCGCGTGGAGCTGCTCGGGATTTTGCTTTTGCCTTTTCCAGCCCCATGACAGAGCCCTGCAAGGGCTGTACCCTCCCCACCACCCCCGGGGCTGCCCAGCC